CTTGGTTTTAAGAATATTAAACTTGTTTTGCCAAATTCAGATGATAAATACAACTTTGAAACTTGTAAAGGCATAATTACAAGCGGCAACTTAACGTCACAGCAGGCATAACGACAGCTGGAGTTTCTTGTGAGGGTTTCCCCTGGAAACAAACACAATACACACAAATGCGTCACAGATTATTTTGCGGTATTTGAAATCATGTACGCAGCTCGCGACGTAACTAGGAGTCTAGTGGACGGTATCAGTACTACAAGTTAAAAAAAAAAAAAAAATAAATAAAAAAAAATGTTTTAATTAAAAAATTGTTTTATTAATTACGTTGTTTATAAATTAATCTGAGGGCCGCAAAAAGAGGAGGTGGGGGCCGCATGCGGCCCGCCATTTGCCCATCCCTGGTCTAAACTAAATACTGCCGTGATGAAACGCCATATCATGGATTATCATGGATTATCAAGGATTATCTCTGAAACAGTATGGAGCTCAAAGGCTTTCTCTCTTGCCGGTTATACCACAAAGTGAGTTCCTTTTTACTTCCTGCTTCTTCACACACATGCTCTCCAGTACAGGTTAGCGCTGAGTGTTAGCGACCATATTACGTCCAAAACAGTCGGGCATTGTTTCTGATAGCAACGTTTCTGATTGGGCCGTGGGTCCACATTTCAGATATTACGTCATATCGGGCGCAAATCTGGATCAGCTCCGTTGTTCCCCGTTTTTAGAGATTTGGATACGGAGGAAAAGAGAGAGGGTTTTATTTTCTGACGCTGCGTGAGTTCCCTGACACACCGGGGATACATCTTTATGTATAAAAGACATCAAAAAGTGCATTTTGCATGATAGGTCCCCTTTAAGTACCAATTTTTGCAGAAGGCACATATACAACTATAAACACTACAGCATCAAAAAGTAGGAAAATATTTTCCAGAAGCAAATATTTCTTATAAATAATAATTTTGGACTCTTTTTAAATGTTTGAATCCACTTTCTGATTAATTTAAAAGTAAAATTAGCCTGTCAAAATAATTTAAGAAGCGTACAAATAGGATTGTTCACAGTGGACGAATGTCACCAAATGAGGTAGAATCCTCAATTTTCCAACAAAGCTAATACTTATCATCTGTTGGCTGTGGAATAATTGAATTGGTGTCTTATAACATACACCAATTCAAATAAATGTGGATTTAGCGCCTTTGTATTGAAATGCTTCTCATATATAAACACCTTACCTGAAATGACCCCACTGGCCAGACCGGGGATGCCTTCGATCTGTGAGAAATTGTTGGAGAGGAAGTATTCGTCGCAGGTAGAGTTGAATTCTGTTCCCTGGCAGAACTGTTTCCAGAGGTGAGTGGTCTTCTCCATGAGAGGGGGGGCCAGGCTGGGGTCGAAGGTCGGGCCCAGAGTGCTGGTGTCTAATGGGAAGGAATACAGAACGTCTTGAATCGGTGTGCAAGTCGAAAACATTCCTACTTCTGGTGATTCTTGAGGTAACAATCGAGCCCTGGCGAAGCTATTTCCGTTGACTAATTTCCATCACCTCGTTTCCATCAACATTACCATCACTTCAGCCACATGCTTTTATCACATGGCAATACTTATGTTGATGTATAATGTTGTATAATGTTTTTATAATTCTTATGCTATGACGTTTGTATTTTGTTTTTGTCTTTGTACAGCCCTTTGAGGCATTTCTTGTGATTTGGGGCTATAATACATTTCGATTTGATTTGATACCCACCGTTACTAGTAGTGTTGTAGTCCCCCATCTTCCCTTGATCTTTGATCTGCTGCAGCACAGTTTTCCCGCAATGGTGGTCCAAAATGTCGTGTCCGCTGATTGTCCTGTTTCCCAGCATGCACACGCTGCGGAGAGAAGCCAATATGTCATACAAAAAATCCACGAAACTCCAAAATTAGCAATTTCATTTTAAAGGTCACCTATCATGCTATTTTAGGCATATATTATGGGTCTCAGATATATACAAATATATAAAAAACATGTTCTGCTCAAAATACCAAACAGACATCCCTCATATCCCTATATTTAAGCCCTGTTAACTGCTAATCCGGGTCCTTAGCTTGATTTGAAATTTAAAAAAGGAGGGGGAGCTAGTGCCTGCTCAGAATTACAGAGATACAGCTAATTGCTGCCGTGACTAAACGCCATCATGTTCCAAACCACGCAGTACAAGTTAGCTCTGAGTGTTAGCGATGCTTGCTAATGTAAAAAAAGACAATAGCCGCTTTCACACGAAGTACTTTGCCGTACTTAGTGCCGGCACGTATTACTCCAGGGCACTAAGTACAGATCGCGTTCACACCGGAATAAGTTCCCTGAGGGAAGATTACGCAAATGAGCCGCTGACGTCACTTTTTCTTCTTCTGCTTTGGGTTTACTGGCAGGCCGCAAACCACTTCACAGCGTATACTGCCACCCGAAGTCCCCGGCCGGAAGTCCCCGGAGTTGGGGACTGGCTTCAGTAGAAGCTGCTGGGACTCCCAGCAGCTTCTACTGAAGCCTTCCGAGTAAATCACGAGAACGCCGACACCTCCTCATCTCCACCGCTACTATGTTTTTTGTTGTGTTGCCATAAGTTAGTCTCTCTCCGTTGGTGCACGGGGCTAATGCTAATGATGCTAATGCCACAAATACAATGGCGGCTTCACAAAACTTTTCAGAGTTTTACGGGGCGTGGTTTGCAATTCGCCCAGCCGATAGAAATTGGTACTTTTTTCTCCCCAGGAAAGTACCACCTCTCAGCAGGCACTAAAAATGGGGGTAAAAGTTCCCGGCACTAAGTACTCTTTTTGGTGTGAACGCAAAATAAGAGGTGCTAACGGAACTAAACGGGAAAAGTACTCCGGTGTGAACGCGCCTCATATTACATCCAAAATACGTCGGGCATTGTTTCCGATTGGGCCGTGGGTCAACATTTCCGATATGACGTCATATCAGACGCAAATCTGGATCAGCTCCGTTGTAGAGATTTAGGTACGGAGAAAAAGAGAGAGGGTTTTATTTTTCTGACACTGCGTGAGTTCCCTGACACACCGGGGACACATGTTTATGTATAAAAGACATTCAAAAAAGTGCATTTTGCATGATAGGAGCAAAGCTTACGGGAATTGAGGCGGTTTGAAGGCGGAGACCAGCGCCCCGACGTAGATGGAGACGATGGAGACGATGACGCAGGCGAGGAAGACCGACGCCAGTTTGTTGACGTACTTCACGCCCACGAAGACCAGCAGGGACATGAGGAGGAGGCAGATGGAGCCGTACACTCGCATGTTGTTCAACATGGCCGCCCCTTCACCTTCGGTGTGCTCCGCCTTGAAAATAGCTGCTTTGGGTGCTAAGTACATCTGGAGGAGGGATGGAAAAGAACGTTTAATTTTGTGTGTGTTTTTAACTAACTGGAAATGACAGGTATGTGGCCTAATTTTAACAAATTATTACATAATAACACGCTTTGTTTAATACTTTATTTAGATTTTTAAATACAAAATGTCTACGTTTTTATTATTTTTAGCTGCTAAAAAAGCTGTTTCCGACGCAGTTCTCTTATCCAAACACAGAAAGGGGACTAATATATTAATGGAAGCAATTGAATCAACTTTAACTCATTATTTAGTGTGTAATTATTCAATTCTTCGTTAATTATCCGCCTAATCAACCGGATAATGTACAGTGACGGGGTCATTATTGCAAAAATATATATATCAAATGTCATATATACGCACTAAGCTACACAGTAATGACACTAAGAGAATATAAGCTTTAATGTTCTGTTGATTTTGAAAGCCTGTTGATGTTTCCTAATGGTCTCCTTTAGATTGCAGTTGTGTAGATCTAGTGTTTTTATCTGGGTTAACTTGTTTTATAGCAGCTGAACTAAAGGGTGAGGGTGAGTGTGATCATTGATTGGTGGGTAGAGTCTATTAGGACAGTGATGTTTTTGTATTGAATAAAAAAACGAAGCACTAGCTTAACAGTGTTCAATGTGTAAGTTCCTGTTCACAGTTTGAATATCACATATAATTGACAATATGTGTTTTAAATTGAGGGATTATGGCTGCGGCAAAACCATAATGGAAGCAATAAACAGTGTGATGTCTTAAAGGTGGGGTAGGTAATTCATTTCAGAAACACTTTTTGTTATATTACATGGAATGCTCTTAACATCCCGATAGCAATGAATATCTTAAATGCTTTGACAACAAATCCATAAAAAAATGTCATCTCTGGAAGCCGTGGCGCTGTAAAAAGCACGACCAATCATCTGAGCCGGCCCAGCTAAAGTAACTGGATGGCCTACCTGCCTGTCAGCCTTCCATCGGGGCACAAACTTATCTGGTGCCCTCATTGGTCATGTGCGCGTTCGTGTGTGTTGGAGGAGGGGCTCTGTGAGGAAGTGGCAGATTTTTTCCGGTTGTGTATTTTCAAATTCTAGCGCACTTGAGCTGGTTTCTCAAAAATTACCTACCCCACCTTAAGCTGAATGCCAATACAACTATTTGTCCAAAAACAACGACAACTGGTCAATCGGAGAGGAAATGGGTAAAGATTTTAAGAGTGAAGCTGAACCGCCGCATGTTCCGAAAAGGGCTTTCTCTGTTATAATGGTTGCTTTGATTACAGCTATATTGAGGCATTGGAGAATAGACAAGCCTCCGCATATGAAGGAATGGTTTAATGCTATGGTGGAGACGGCATCCTATGAGGCTTCCGTTAGCCGGTAATTACCGGCAAAATATGCTGAAGACCGGCAAATCTAAATCTCTTTGGCCAAAATAATTTCCCCTTAGCACAATACCGGATCAGTTGCGCCACTTATGTGACAGACAAGAAGAGTATGTGACGGACAAGAAGAGTATGTGACGGACAAGAATAGTCAATTCTAATGTCTAACACTTAATGTGGAGAAAGAGATGTCCTGGATGGGTCGATTGTGCGTTGATCTGTTGGTAATGCCTCAGGGTTCCGGTGGGCATGTAAACAAATGCATAATGCTGCGCTATACTTTGTGGCCTCACCCAGTTGCATAGCGACACTTATTGTTGAGGTGTCTTTTGATAAGCAGGCAGTCCTATCATTAGCTAGAACCAGCTGGATCTGATCGATATGGACATAAACGCGAGTAAAGTCTAATCTGACGCGTCTGTATGATCACCTGCAGCGGTGGGCGGAACAAAACACACACTTCAGGTTAGAATATCACACATAGCTATTTTAATTACCTCTCAAACTACCTAAACTAGTTATAGATGTGTTTTTACTGTCGGGTCACTCATTACTGATCCTCGAGCTGCATGATACTGACGGGCTGTCAGGAGAGGGAGAGAGCGCTCCGTTTATTATTCCCGTGTTATTGTAAATTATTGTACACTTTTGAATAATGTAGTTAATCTACTATAATTAGTTTGTTTAATATCGAATCATTTCAATTTGTTTTAAAGCTCAATAAATAACAAAGAAGACCTTTGACCGGCACTTTTCTCATTTTGTCCGGAAGATTTAAACTTTAACGGACATGTTGACCGGCAAAAGAAAATTCTAACGGAAACTCTGGAGGCTATGCTCACTAGGATGAAAGGCATTGAAGATGCTGAGGACAACCCTTTGGAGCGTTTCTGGACACACAAAGGCAGACAGAGACGCTATTTAATTTGAATGTTTGCCAATAATTGCACACTTTTAATTTTCCATTGCTTATATACACCTAATTTTCTATTTTGTGATTATTATTATGTTACTTTTTCCATGCCATGTCTTTTAATGTCAATGCCAGGACCACGGGGGAGGGGGATTTGTTTATGCAGTGTACCGCCAACGTTTCTTTGTTCTGAATGGAAAATTCAAAAGAAATTGGAATTACAAAAAGAGTTGAACCCACCAGCAGGATCTCGATGGCTCCCAGGATGTACATGGCTCCGGCGAAGGTGGTTCCCAGGTAGAAACACAGACCCACCGCCCCCCCGAACTCTGGACCCAGAGACCGGCTGATCATGAAGTACGCGCCTCCCGCTGGAGGAGGGGGGAAGAGAGAGAGAGAGAGAGAGAGAGAGAGAGATGAGAGAGAGAGAGAGAGAGAGAGAGGAGAGAGAGAGAGAGAGAGAGAGAGAGAGAGAGAGAGAGAGAGAGAGAGAGCAGGGCAGGTCGTACATCAGGGTTGAGAGAAGTGGAAATGGCGAGAAGCAGAAGCAGTGGATGGGAGAGAAGAAGAGATGGGACATAAAGAGAGAGAGAGGGGGGTGGATGTTAGTCACATTATGATGTTAGGAGGTAGAGACTCAGAGAAGACGACAGCTGATGAGAGAAGTCGTCCTATGCTTGAAGAAATAAGCATAATGCTCTACACCAGGGGTTCCCAACCTTTATTGTGCGCGTGTGTGTGTGTGTGTGTGTGTGTGTGTGTGTGTGTGTGTGTGTGTGTGTGTGTGTGTGTGTGTGTGTGTGTGTGTGTGACACTGGCATTTGTTTTCAGAAGATATTATGATAGTGACGTTCGTTCCGGTGCACGTCCGACAGCATTTAGCTCTACATCGAGATTAAGATTAAACTAATTTATTTTGGAAACACCGGCATATAGGCTACCTATGGAGTTAGCCAGATGTGTGTAAATTACTGTTCATGGTCATTTGAAAACAAATGCCGGTGTCGGACAGACACAAACACTGAGCTGAGCAGAGCACACACACACCATGCGCCTTGGTGACCGGACATCTCCTTCATAAAACTAATAAAAGGGGGAGTAATCGGGCAGTTCGATGTGTGTAGAGATGTGTGTGGTTAACACGTAGCAGCCTGCAGTCACTCGCTGTTCTGATGAAGGTAAACACAGCGAAGGCGGTGCGTAAAAAGACACAGCTCTCGGCGCGCTGCTGCACTTCTCAGAAGCGGAGTTACACGTCCCGCTGCCTCCTGATGCTGCCTGCAGCCATTTCATGAAGTGAAGGAGGTTTTCTATAAAACAGCTGCGGGCAGCAGATACCGTGAGAGTCCCGGACATGAATTCATAGATCAAGGCAGACTGGTTTACTCTCCTGTTTTGCCAATCCGGTGCTTAAACAAAGGCAAGGCAAGTTTATTTATATAGCACTTTTCAACACAAGGCAATTCAAAGTGCTTTACAAAAAAATGAAAGACATTAAGAAAATGGCATTTAAAATCAGTCATTAAAAAGAAAAGCTAATAAAATAAACATATAGCTCTACACCCCTGGCCGACATGTCCTTAAAATGAAGTCCGAGTTTGAAATATATCTCAAATAATGTATGCACTGCATTTCCCCACCTAAACATAACAGTCTGCAATCAAACGGTTGTCTCCTGTGCGCTCCTCTTCCTACTTGGCGCACCGGTAACTTTCTCGTGCGCACGAGAGGCTGAGACCAGGCTGAGCCGCCGAATCCCTCGGAACATCATAAAGCCATTTTCAACGGTTAACTGGTGAAAGATGAACTACTAGGCTACTGGATGAAATAATATGACTGGTAAAATATATATGATAAAATATTTTTATATATTTATAATTCTGCAAATATTACGATAAACTCACAGCTATTTCGCGGCCCGGCAGTAACACCTCCGCGGCCCCGGTACCGGTCTGCGGACCGGGGGTTGGGAACCCCTGCTCTACACGATACATCGGAGGAAGAAGATAGCGCAGAGCTTCGGTCATATCGTAACTGCAAATCAGGTTTCAGATGTTTTTGTACTCACTTGGAGGACAAGTACCAGTGTTAAGTAACCTCTTGATTGTCTTCAGTAAGTTCTTCTTGTTCAGTAGCATTGAGTAAAACTGACTGTACTGAATCAGACTTAGTTTTGTTTACTTGATCTGGGATGTGACACCTCCTGATTTATGTTAAATATTTCCATTTCTTATCTATTAAAGCCAATATTAAACACTTGAGGCTTCCTTTGAACAAAAGAGTTTAGGATAATAAATACGTTTGTATTTCTCAAAGTTAAGAATCAAAAAAGTAGTCCGATAATCAGACTAGGGCTGAACGATTAATCGATTTTAAATCGAAATCGCGATTTTAAGTGATGCAATTATGAAATCGCAAAGCCTGCGATTTGTTTTTGTTTGTTCTTCTTGTGTGTCAGTCACACCAATCAGAAGTGCTGTGCTCCACATGTACCAGTCATTGTTAACCAATCAGAAGTGGCCCATGATAGAAGGTGATAGACAGATTGATCCAATCACCTGCCAAGTACTTCTGAAAGTGCCTGCCCTTTCCAAATGGCTTCCAATGGAGCTTTAGATGGCTTGATGAAACAAACCATCTGGGTCAGGTTAGCAACGCTCCATCACATGTTTCTATTACAGGGTGAATCTGAAACTGAAGCTTGACTTTAAAGCAACCCAACGGAAGTTTCATGTAAGTTCGGGCTGGGGCTGCGGGGGTGCTAGAGACGGGAGCACGTTGATGCGATCTTCCTAGTCGGAGATATGGCCGCATTTTACAATAAACTTCCGTTGGGTCGCTTCAAAACAAATATCGCAAATCGAATCGCAATATCTGTCAGAAAAATCACAATTCCATTATTTCCCCAAATCGTGCAGCCCTAAATCAGACTGAAGTGCCGTTTAGTTGACTCACTCATTGTTCATTAAGCCAACTAAACTTTGATTAATAAATGCAAGGAAAAGTGTCTCCCCTTTTCCATTAATTATCAAAAATGTCTTATAATAGAAGATTTAATAGAAGACGTGGGCAGTGGTACTGATTTTCAGGTATCGTTTTAGAATTAGTATCGAAAAATGTTTAATAAAACCAGGCCCTAAATTGTGTTCTGAACTTGGCATTGTCTTAAGTGAGCTAAACAACAACAACAGTAAGCTTTAATTTGCAGATACAATTTGAACCAGTTATATAATAAAGCACATGGAGGAATCATACAAGAAAGAGAAACTACATTAGAAACTTCTGTGAGCTCAGAAAGCAGTGTTTGGTTTCCTAAATGCAATTCGTTGACATTTGACAGTGAGATGAATGGTTAAAACAATTGGGCGTGTGAATGTGAATGAATGGATTCCCCAACCCCCAAAACTGCCATTGATGTCCTAAATAAAAGCGTCAAAGTGAATTTAAATAAATGAACGTGATGCAATGGGATGAGCTGTATTTCCAAAACCAAAAACAACTCCATCCATACAGTATTAACTTAGTGAGAGCGCATGAGAAGCTGAGAACAAAAGACAGCATGGGATGAAATGTCTGAAGCCAAACATTAGATTAATCTCTATGTTACCGAGGGGTTATCGATTATAGAAATGTCACATGCTAGCTAGGGCTGCTCGATTATGGCAAAAATCATAATCTCGATTATTTGGGTCAATAATTGATATCACGATTATTAAAAACGATTATCCATTTACTTTGAAAACATCAACTTATTTGAGAAAAGAAATGTGAACAGTATGTTTTTAACAGTTGATTACCCTGAACTTAAGTATAATTCAACTGAAAAACCAATTAAAAAAAGTAATTAAAAAAAATTAAATAATAGAAAAATAATCGTTTTATTTCGATTACGTTGTTTTCGTAATCGTTGCAAGCCATAATCGTAATTGCGATTAATTGAGCAGCCCTAATGCTAGTGTCAACATCACACTACTTTGGCATTTGGGGTCTCCGACTAGAGGCGTAAAGTGGATCAATTATCCTTGGTTTTTAATAATGTGCGTTCAGACAGACAGGAAGGAGGGACAGAGGGAGAGACAAACAGAAACAACATTAGAAAAAAAACACACGAATCAGTACCGACACGAGCGGGGAAACTGAAGGGAAACAACCTGGAAGATTCATCTATGGCTGTACCGAAAAAAAGTAAAATTGAGAATAAAAATCCAAAAGTAATTTATTGGATAGAGTGAGTCATTGTTTTTAAATACTGTTGGGAAAATACTGAATGTTCCTTCCTAACAGAGGCCCTACGTCGCTGTGTACGTAGCCGGATGTATGACTACATGGATGACGCTCATGTGTTGAAGTTATGATAGCTATGTTCCTAGGATTGGCATGATGCCACTAGACAGATAGGCATATCTGCTTACGCAGGCCTTAGCTGATCTTAACTAATGTCAGAATACTGCTTTGAACCGGTATTCCTCCATCTTGTGACTGTAACACCCTCTCTTGTGTATCAGCATCTTGAAGGACACTGTTCGGGGTGCTAATTGTCCCACGCAGCCCTGTGTGTGATGACTACTTCCATTCTTGAGAGGATCATAAATACATGGATCCTGATATTGAAGACCAGTGATATTTTAACAAATACATTTCTTTGCAACATTCAAATATTGTTTTATGATCCCAAAAGTAACTAAGTACATTTACTCAAATAGGTTTACTGCTTTGGGGGGTGCTGCCTGAGCGGGGGGGGGTGTCGTTGGGATATTTTTTTTTTTAATCCTCTGGAGCAGAGAGTGTTTCTTAGGGTCAAAAACACTAAACTCACAACTTAAAATGAAAGCGTTTAGTTTATTTAATAAAAGAGCACATGTTCAATGTGAAAAGTGACAGGAGATATAGATTAGTTGCAATTTGGTATACAAATATTTTCGTTGGCGGGGCGCAGCGCCCCTCCAAGACAATGGTAGGGGAAACACTGCTGTACTTTAAGTGCATTATTGAGGTACTTGTACTTTCCTTGAGTATTCTCATTTAATGCTACTTCATACTTCTACCACAATACATTTTGGCAGCAGATATTGTCCCGACTAACTACATTTATTTGCCTACTTTTCAGGTTTATATAAATAATACAAACATTAAATCGACTCATACACTATGATCTACTTTAAGGATAGATATACCTTGCAGTTTGATCAATAATTAATGTAATATTATTATCATTTGGTTGTGTAAACTCATATAAGTTAAACTGACACGGTAATAATGGAGATAAGACGTAGCTGTGTGGGAGTCAGATGAAGTGATTACCCAGCACACACCAGTGCCCTTTAATCCACAGGTAGGGAGAGGATGGGAGGGGGGGGGGGGGGGGGGGGGGTGGGGGAGTAAATGATGAAGGAATACCTGGAACAACTCCGTTAGTGGCGATGGCGCTCATCGATATCGCCGTCAACAACGTCTGCAGAGAGAGATTTAAAATACATTTAGAGATACGTTTCTGATGTGGTAATATGCAGAGATGGCAAAAGTACACACATCCTTTACTCAAGAAGAAGTACAGATACTCGTGTTTAAAAATACTCTGGTGAAAGTAGAAGTACTGACTAAACTTCTTTGCTCAAGTCAAAGTAAAGAGGCTTTGAAAAGTACTTCAGTAAAAAGTACCCATAACTAGCAGCTGTTTTAAAGAGTACCTGACCTCCCTTTATATTAAGAGAACAATAATGTCATTGTTAGCTAATGAATGTTTCCATGCTGAACAACGGCAACATGACAACGTTTCCATTGGTCCCTCTTCTTTAGAGAAGACCAGGAAATGATGGATACACGGATCGTGTTCAAATCAATAGGCACGCAATGACTCTAAAGAATAATGATCACGCATCAAACACACATTCAGACTAAAGGAACCAGCTGTTTGGAAAATGAGAGAAGTAGAAAGTACAAGTATTTGAGTTCAACATGTAAGAAGTAGAAAGTACAGGTATTTGTGTTCAACATTAGAAGTAGAAAGTACAGGTATTTGTGTGTTCAACATGTAAGAAGTAGAAAGTACAGGTATTTGAGTTCAACATGTAAGAAGTAGAAAGTACAGGTATTTGAGTTCAACATGTAAGAAGTAGAAAGTACAGGTATTTGAGTTCAAACATGTAAGAAGTAGAAAGTACAGGTATTTGAGTTCAACATGTAAGAAGTAGAAAGTACAGGTATTTGAGTTCAACATGTGAGAAGTAGAAAGTACAGGTATTTGGTTCAACATGTAAGAAGTAGAAAGTACAGGTATTTGGGTTCACATGTAAGAAGTAGAAAGTACAGGTATTTGGGTTCAACATGTAAGAAGTAGAAAGTACAGGTATTTGTGTTCAACATGTAAGAAGTAGAAAGTACAGGTATTGGGTTCAACATGTAAGAAGTAGAAAGTACAGGTATTTGTGTTCAACATGTAAGAAGTAGAAAGTACAGGTATTTGGGTTCAACATGTAAGAAGTAGAAAGTACAGGTATTTGAGTTCAACATGTGAGAAGTAGAAAGTACAGGTATTTGTGTTCAACATGTAAGAAGTAGAAAGTACAGGTATTTGGGTTCAACATGTAAGAAGTAGAAAGTACAGGTATTTGAGTTCAACATGTAAGAAGTAGAAAGTACAGGTATTTGAGTTCAACATGTAAGAAGTAGAAAGTACAGGTATTTGAGTTCACATGTGAGAAGTAGAAAGTTCAGGTATTTGTGTTCAACATGTAAGAAGTAGAAAGTTCAGGTATTTGGGTTCAACATGAAAGAAGTAGAAAGTACAGGTATTTGTGTTCAACATGTAAGAAGTAGAAAGTTCAGGTATTTGTGTTCAACATGTAAGAAGTAGAAAGTTCAGGTATTTGTGTTCAACATGTAAGAAGTAGAAAGTGGTCAGAAAAATAAGTAGTGGAGTAAAGTACTGATAACAGAACAATATACTTAAGTACAGTAACAAAGTATTTGTACTCCACTACTTCCCACCTCTGCTAATATGTGTTTGCTGCAGTACTCACGCAGCAGCAGCAGACGAACACGATGCAGAGACACTGCAGGACCCCCGCGCTGCCCACCACCCAGGTGAGCCGCAGGAACAGGATCACCCCGAAGATGTTCTGCAGGCACGGCAGGTAGACGCCCATAAAGGTCCCCATCTGAGGAGACTGGAGACAGCAGAGACCAAGAGAACATGAAGATTAGACAACAAAGGCTTCACAATGTCACAGTGTTATTGTTAGACTCCATTATGTGTGATCCCAACAAAGCCTTTTATGACAGCTTCAGTGTCCTAAAGAATCTAAAATGAGTGGTTTTACACTGGATGTCAATAGAGTGACGCGTCCTAAAACCCGGATGTAAACTCCTTCAGACAAAAAGCAATGCAATTTCTCCATAGGTTTTTGGAAAATAGCTGGAAATAAGGTCTGCGGTTGAAACACATTTAAGAGACGGATCACGTTTTGTTCAGCCGGATAATCTCCACATGTCTACTTTTATCATTTTCAAATCATAACGTTATGCTATAAACGAACTACAGCAGGGTCGCTGCTTCAACGTCACGCCAACTTAAGATCCATATTCAAAAATACAGATTCTAAAGCAGTGGCGGCGCCAGGGTATGGCTGGGGTAGACTACAGCCATACCAAGAAGTGGCTTAGCCCCACCATGAACAATGATGTTAAAGTAAGCTAAATAAAGTCTGCCAACTCGCGGAGTAAATTGCACAGACAGCAGTTAGTAAGATTGATTTCAGCAGCCACTTGTCTGGAAATACCGAAGACTAGAAACGGTTTTGAAAACTTTTGTCACGTAGTGATCGTCTTCTCAATAGAACATCTTTGATAATGTCTTCTGGCCAATCAGAATCAAGATAACGGCGTGGTGTTGTTCCAGGAAGTCCCGACGGAGAATACTTTTGCTGTAGTACATCTCTATATACATCGATACACATTACGTGTTGATAGAAGACGTATCGAAATAAGACCCCACGGTTTGATGATTGATAGGTGTGTGAGCTGTCTTTCATTTTGACACACAGAACAATGGGGGCTATCCACCCTTATCCACAATGTAAAGTCATTCACAGCCCCTTCCCTCTTCTGTGAGGAGCAGCAGGTTCAGCTTTCAGAACAAAGTAACACAAAACTAAAATGGCATTATTTTTTTAAATATGTCTCGTAGTAATAGATGTATTTATTGTTCTTCTCAAGAGAGTACCAGAATGTGTATTTTATGTTAGTATTTCAAAAAATCTCCTGGGGGAGAATCCCCCCAGACCCCCCTGCAGGGGTTGGGCTTTCAGCAGGTCAACTCTTTCACCTGTGGGGAAATTGCAGGATTGGCTCCAGGTCGCCCTTTTTATTTACTACAAGACAAATGTGCCTTTTTATTTCATACAGTTCAATTTGGATTGAGACAGGGAAATAATCTAACCCTCACGCGTGGCGTTTCACTGTCAAGGGGAGCGTGTATGTAATTACATTGCAAATACTGACTTGAGCCCCACTACTGTATGGGTTAGCCCTACCATAGATTACCCAACAAAAATACTCTGGCGCCGCCACTGAGTACAAGTTGAAGCGTTTGTTTGAACAGTTTGTGCTTGAATTGTTTTTACTGCTTTCATTCTCTTTGACAGCGAGTTATACCTTGCTGGCTTTCTTCTTCTCCCCGATGCCCTCGGCCTCCTCGTGCTCCTTGGCTCCCTGCGTCAGGTTGGTGTAGTTCGCCAGGCGATTGAGCAGAGAAGACACTTTTGGCCGAGTGTCCATCTCCTCCTGAGGCAGGGAGAGATAAAGAACAAACGGTAAGTGACAGTAAGGGAAGTGAAGCAGAGAAAGAGACAGCCAGGGGATAAAGGACGGGGAAATGGAGGAGAATAAATGGGTGAATGAGAAGAAGAAAGGCAACACATACGAGGTACCAGAGCGGCAGAGAAAGAGACATATTGAATGAGTCACTAAAGTAGTGGGCGAGCCAAGAAAGAGCTTCAACATCTACACAAATAGAAATGTTTTGCACCCACCAGCAGCCAAACGCCAGGGTTTCTTTTTGCCTCTAGTTTAGCAGACACTTTGGCAAAAAGAGAGATTCTGTTTTCATCGATAGAGCAAAAGTGAACATGTAAATGGGAGAATCTGGTTTTCTGTATCTGATACAAGGCAACGTTTAAAGACTATTTAGGAGGTGAGTATGGTGTGCTTTCAAAGGAAGTCAGTTCTGAAAGAAAAGTCGAGTTTCGGACCTCAAATAAGGCCAAGTTTCGGTCGTAGAAGTCGTCGTCATCCACCCCGTGAGTGTTGTTGATGTACACACTGGAGATTTTGGAGTTTCCATCACCTAGGCACAAAGAAAGGGATTATAAATACAAGGATATGAATTATTGGTAAACCAGGAAACACAAAAACATCTTTGTGTTTCCTTATTGAGGTTCAGTGACAAGTTAGACGGGATTTCGTACTGAAATCGGTGTGACTCTAAAATATGTAAGGGATAATGTGCAGCGAGGCGCTCATTATGGGGAAAAGAACACCGACAGGCAGATCAGGAGCCCGACGCTAAGCGGAGGGATCTTGATCTGCATGAAGGTCAAGTCGCTGCACATTATCCCGCTTATTACATGGCCACATTCTCAACAAAGTAACGACATGACTCCCAATATTCATTGAAATGCTTTTATGAATTTAGAAAACATTTTTATTGATTTAAAAAAAATAGTTGTATGTATTGATTTAAATTGACATGCATCCGCTAAGAAAAATAGTCCGTTGTTACCGTTTGAACTACGTAGCAATGGCAGGAAGGCGGAGCTTTTTGATTACAGATTTGAAAACATCGCTGCTTGCTTTAAAAGTAGCACAATTCATTATGTCAAACCTTGGAAAGTATCTAGATACCCAGTGCTGGAATTGGGCCGGTACTCACCGGTACGCAGTACCGGCACTTCTGGTTCTGACCCATGGAGTACCGGCACTTCTTGCTCAGTACCGGCATGCTGGCGGTACTCCGGTACTCATGCACCGTGCCAGTACTCAACACTCTCCCGCCGTTCTTATTATACATCCATATATATATATACAGCCGCCCGGTACTCAGTAGATGCGTCATGAGGTGCCGAACGGACATTCTCATCGCTCTAACCGCTGGAGTTTCACAGCGGCTGTCAGCTGTTTACTCCTGTCATTCAAACAGAACGTGCTGGAGAGGGGGCGGGGCTTATCTTCTCCATGTAAATACTGTGGTGGAAACGACTATGTCAAAATTAACCTATTTGACCGTGATTTAATAGTAATACACGTTTCAAAATAATAATAATAATAATGCCGAAGTAACAACATACTGAAAACTGTTAGTAAAACCATGTTTTAATGCTTTACAATTTACATACCTAGATGCACGTGTGTTGTGTTTATGCAGTGCAACTCCCACCCAGTGGGTGGCTATGTAGAGTGATAGAACAGAGCAGGCACGCCCCCGAGAGAAGGAAAGCAAGTCACGTCACAAATTAGCATTTCTAAAATGTTAGCGTGGATTAATAAAAGTGCAAAAAGAGAGCGGTTGTCGCCGGAAGAAACTTCAAATACAGAGAATGCTGTGCCTGTGTTGGAAATTGTGTCTGATGGGGAGCTTTCTTTGGTTGATCCTCCTGCTCCAAGTTCTAGTGCATTAGCATTAGCACTAGCTCCGCCGCCTCCTCCAGAGCCTCTAACGTTAGCTGCTGCTGGCGCAACTGCCACCACCAACACCGGGCAAAGCGATGCACCTGACTGCTGGACAACGGACCAGGTGCAATATTTTTGCAAGACCAATGCATGGCTCCTTCTTAAAGATAAGAAGCTAGGATGTCGGATATGCAGAGATGTCAAATCTTTGGGAATACACACTGGACAAGGACTGAAACTGTCAACTGAATGGGGTGAGTGTGCAGTGTCTCATTTCGGTGTTGACAAGGGCAAACAACAAGCTAGCCTGAGAAAAAAAATCAAAGAACATAAAGAATCTCAAGCCCATGTAAAAGCTGCTGACATCCTTACATCTGCTTCACGTGAAACTATTCAACATCAAGTGCAGTCTATGCATAAATCTGAATTAGACACCACTATCAGAGTTTTTCGAACGGCATATAAAATTGGCAAACATAGCCGGCCATTCACAGACATGCCAATTGATTTGAATGTACAGAAACTGAATGGGCTGAACGTGGGCAGGGTTTTGCACTCCAATAAAACCTGTGGCGAAATCATCGACCACATAGCTCATGAGCTGAAGAAAAAAATGGCAAAAGACATTACAGAAAACCAAAGAAAACTGTGTTTTGGTCGATGAATCTACCACTATTAGTGGTAAAACGGTGCTTGTTGTGTGTCTACGCTCAGCATTAGCTGATGCTGAGCCCGAAACGTTTTTTTGGGAGCTGATCGAGTTGGATGGAACAACGGCTGATGACATCACAAAGGCGTTAATGGAGTGTCTTGGAAGAGATTTTAACGAGGACTTTTTAGGTCAGTGTTTCGTTTCTTTTGCATGTGATGGGGCTTCAGTCATGCTAGGGAAGAGAACAGGCGTTGCTACCCAGTTGTGTAGTAAATTCCCAAGCCTGTTTGTGTGGCACTGCTCCAATCATCGTCTAGAGCTGGCAGTTGGGGATGTGGTCAAGGAGGTCTCAGGGCTCAATCATTTCCAGATCTTTTTTGACAAACTCTATTCCTTGTTCCATGCCTCCCCCAAAAATCAGAGGCAGTTAGCGCAGTGTGCGCAAGCAGTCGGACAGCGTCTCCTGGTGATAGGGCGTGTTTTGTCCATCCGCTGGGTGGCTTCAAGTGAAAGGAGCGTCAGAGCAGTCTGGGAAAACTACCGAGTGCTTCATGATCACTTCACAAATGCTGCAAACGACACGAGCAGGGATTCCAGAGACAGAGCAAAGTACAAGGGCCTGGATGATGTGCTCACATCTGCAACGTTTGTCAGCAATCTGGGACTGATGTACGATGCGCTCACAGAGCTCAGCGACCTCTCTCGGCAACTCCAAAAAAGAGAGATGACACTGCCTACAGCAGATAGGCTCTTAACTCGAGAAATACGAGTTTTTGAATCCATGGTCACCATGCCTGGCCCACACATGACTACAGTTCATACAGCTCTAGCTGAGAAGTCCTTCAAGGGTGTTACCCTGCGTGAGAATGGCAGGCTTGTACAGATTCATGCAGGTCAGTTTTTCCGCAGTATGGTAGAGAATCTGAGACACAGAATGACTTCCACAACCTCCTCTCATGTCAGCACAAGAGAAATCCCATTACATGGCCGGGAGGCCCGGGACAATCAGCTAATCCAGGACATGAAAGTTATCCATCCTGGAAGTTGGCCTGAAGAGGAGTTAGACGTACAGTATGGGGACGTAGAGGTGCTACGTTTGTGCGAAGTGCTGAAAGTGGACAGAAGAGAGACTGTTCAGGGCTTTCGCGAATACAAGGAAACCAGGGCATCCCGTACACCTGCTGCCATGGAGCCTCTACTGAAAGCAGTCCGAACCATCGCTGTCTCCACTAGTGAGTGTGAGCGGGCATTCAGCTGCATGAACGATATCCTTACTGCAAAAAGGAATGCTCTCTCTGTCAGCCGACTGTCCAGCCTGGTTTTCATTAAATGTAATGGACCATCACTAGGACAGTTCAATCCGGAACAGTATGTGAGGTCCTGGCTGGCAAAGGGAAGGAGAAGTGCTGATGAAAGAGCCTGTCCAGCTCCAGCCCCTGATACTGATGTCCCCAAGGCCTTCTGGAGCCTTTTCTAACAATGTGAAGTATATTGCAAAGCAGCTCACCCAGTGAGAAGACTTTTGGCATAATGTGCCGATTTGTACAGATCCTGGAGATAGAAGGACTTCAGACCAACCAGGGAGTTATCTGATCAGCTTGGTGTTCAATGTAACTCTTTACCATGGCTCAGACTTTGTTACTTGCAGTTACAGTTTCTCATTTTAGATTGTGCAAATTTTGCATTTGTTTTTACATGTTCTTTGTTCATGCTCTTTATCATTTTTCTGAGTTGGAAAGTTAGATTGCATCATAGTTTACTTTATACATATTTGTATTCTTCAGTGGTGAAGTATATTGCAAAGCAGCTCAGCCATGTGAGAAGACTTTTGGCACTTTTTCGTTTTTCGTTTTCTGAGTTGGAAAGTTAGATTGCATTCAACATGTACAGAAATACTTAATTTTGTTAAAGCTTTTTATAAAAAATGCTTCTGACCAGAGCTTTGTTTCCTTGTCATTAATGTTGAACACCACCAGAGGGGCTCTCACCTGAAAGGTCTCTGCTTCATGTGTCTTCAGCAGAAGATCTAGACTTTGATTGCTATATTTTCAGTTAATATTGACCTTACTGAGCTTTAGCCATATCCGCTGCCTATCATAAAACATGTTAAGTACAGTGAACCTTTCTAAAATATACAGTAGTAAAGAGACAAACCCACCAGCATTATAGTAGCCAAATTCTTGTTTGTGGGCTGTATATATAAAATTGACTTGAAAAAGTTGCTGATTTTAGAGTACTGGCACCTTTTTCATTCCAATTCAAGCACTGTAGATCAGAGTCCTGCATCGGGTCGGGTACCCGCGGGTACCCGACGGGTGACCCGCAAAAAAGGTGATTCGCGGGTGGTATTTTTTCAAACGCTTTTTCCCGGGTTCGGTTCTGGGTAAAACAAAGATGATGCGGGTCAGGTCGCGGGTATTGCATAATAAATATATTAAAATAATAATAAATTAGTTTAATGTTTAAAATCCTCAGACCTCTCCCCCGCGGGACCCGCGCATAATCATAACCTCTGCAGCGCATCAATCTGCTGCTGTGCGCGCCACATTCGAAATGGCTGAGGTGAAGCTCTCTAGCGGAGAATACAGCATTTTCAATAACACTTCCTCAAGAGCGAAATCCAACGTCTGGGAGGCTTTTTGTGTCATTCTAGATGGAGGAAATAACCAACATCCCACGCTTTCTGAGACAAATATGAAACTGCGTGTGTTAATAATTGCACGTTTTCACTGCTCATAGGCTATGCGGGTTCGGGTCGGGTTGCGGATCTTGTGCCGACGGGTCGGGTCGGGTTGCGGAACTAATTGGCAATATGTGCGGGTAGCGGGGCGGGTTCGGTATTGCACGTCGCGGGTGCGGGGCGGGAGCGGGTCTTGAAAATCAGACCCGTGCAGGACTCTGCTGTAGATACCCCTGCCCTAATGCCAAAGTAACTGGCAACTGAATATGTGTCGCCGTTTGATGTCTATGGCTGGACCGTTGAGTAAAAAGGAGGGTTTCTGCCCGTTACTTCTCCGCTGTTTTAC